ACAAACAAGCAAGCCCTGTCCAGATTTAAAAAGTAACGCTAAAGTAACGTAACGCATTACTTTCCATAAAAGGTAACTAAGTAACGTAATTAGTTACTTTTTTATGGAGTAACGCAATATTGTAATGCATTACTTTTAAAAGTAACTTTCCCCAACACTGTTTAGAACTAATATCAAGTAAAACTATCACAAGAATGTTCACATTAGTGACCCTGGAGCACAAAAAGCAGTCATAAGCAGCACAGGTATATTTGTAGCAACAGCCAACAATACATTGTATGGGTCAAAATTATCTATTTTTCTGAGTCACATGACTTGTTAGTGGCAGGAAACAATGCACATTTACCTGAACAGGTGCGATCGTTAGTTCTAACAGACTGAAAGCAATTGCATGCAACTTTTTTTGGGGGGGGATGGGTTAAGCGTGCACACTTTTCTACTGATGAGCTGTCATTTAACTGATGGACATCATGATTGGCTGAAGAGAATGCGTTAGTGCCCGCCCACTTTTTGGTTGCAGAAGTATTTTTGTTGTTGATTTTATCTCTAGAAACTATGTATTTCAAGTTTATTGAAAAATTTGCACATATATATAGAAATATTTAACTATTTTGACAGTAAAGTGAGTGCTTCATTAAAGTGGGCGGAGTTAAACAGCTCTTCTAACATTTTGCTCACAGCTACTCTCTCATTGGTGGAGTTTTCTGAACAGCATCATGGGTAATGTAGTTTTTTATATCATGATATCATTAGGATATTAAGTAAAGATCATGTTCCATGAAGATATTAAGAACGCAGCTGCAGTTTTGGCGTAGAAATGTCCTGAAGGTCGTCAGTGTTTAATGCTTCACATTTCATGATGCTCAAACTGACATTTAACGCAGCAAAACTACAGCGTCTCCCAAAATAATGAGACTCACAGAGCCGAGGCGCCCACACATGTGCCTGAACAAATCCAGACCTGCCTTCATGCATGCGTCTCTCTCACACACACACACACACACACACACACACACTCACTCACGCACACACACACACACACAC